TTTTTTTTTTTTTTTTGAGGTAGAAACTGAAGCATACAAGGTTAAATAATATGCCCTAAACTTTCTGACTACAAAAAAATGATACAAGATATTACCTATGGTTTTCTCATCTTTAAGAGCCATTTGTCCTTATTTAATAGTAATTGGCAGATCAGCCTGCTTTTCTGTACTCGTTGTGTCTCTGAAATGAATATAGTACACAGCATGGTGTGTTGGCTTTGAAACTCCTTTGACTCTAAGAATCTGGCACAGGATAGAAAGAAAGTACATATTTTGCCTTTATACATCTTAACCAGGTATTGTAATATCTTTATGGATTTTCTTTTTTGCTTTTTAGATCAGTGCAAAGTGAGAGACTTCCTGTGAATACCGTATCACATTCTGAAGTGGTTCCTACTGACAATGTTATTTCTGAAGAAATGTCTGAGAATGATACTGGAGTCAGAAGAGAAATATCAGCCAAATGTTGTGAACCTAATGAGCAGTTATATTCCAGGTCTAGTAAATCTCAGGAATATATACAGGGTGTTTCAGTTCGACCATCAGTTATTCAAAAATTGGAGAAGGGACAGCAGCTACCTTTGAAATTTGTTCACAAAGTTGGGAGTGGTTTGAGTGAATTTCATCAAGTAGGTAATGATCAAACCACAAATAATGGACAAAACTCAATATATCCCTCAGTGATTTCTCATGCTCCGGCTAGTTTATCTGAATTCTCTTATGTTAGACCACCTACAACTAATACTACTGAGTTACCACAAGTGATCCATTTGGAGTCTGTTAGCAGATGTGCCCCTAGCAAAGTTGACAGATACCAAGATGTAGAGTCTCAGGGTAAAACTTTGTCAACTGACTTTAAATTCCATGATGTAATGGGTACTGAAGACTCCTTAAAATGTGAAACTTCTTCCAAATTAGTAGTAAACCCAACTGTAAGCCTAAATAAAACTGACATGCCTGCTAATAAAGAAGTCTTGGAAGATGCCATTTCAAAGTATAATGAGAAGCTTTCTAATATGGATCATACTAAAGAAGAAATGCATTTGGTTTTTAATAAGGCAGCCTTTTTGGAATATAAGAGCTCAGAGAGTTCTGAAATAAAGTTTGGTTGTGGCTCTCTGCAATCAGGTTCTGAACAACCTAAAACATTTGTGCAAGACATTTGGGAGGAAAGGCAAATTGACCAAGAAGATAAGAACAGTGAATTGAGAAGTTATAAAATCAGTTTTGACTGTAATCCCTGTTTTCATTCACTGACTGGCCAATCTAAAATGATGGCTAAAGAAATAAACCTTTCACGTAAACTACATGCTAATTTGCAGTATAAGAATAAGAAATCCTGTGATTGTGGTGGCTCTTCTCAGTTGGCTTCTAACCAAATTCGTGTAATTGTTAAAGAAACACGTCTTCAGAAGGCAGTGCCTATTAGCCTGGTTGATGAAAGTTATGAATCTAGTGATTCTGAGATGACTTTTGACTGTGGTGCCTCACTTCAGTCAACTGATGACTCCCTCCAACAGCCTGCAAAAGTGGTAAGCCTTCCTGAGAGGGTACACATTGATTTGGTTGATAAGGACTATGGATCTAGCAGCTCTGAAGTAAGTGCTGATTCCTTTTATTCAATTCAGTCAGTGGTTCACCAACTCCCAGTGGCTGTCACAGAAACAAAACTTAACAATCAGGAACACATTGACTTGGTGGATAAGAATTATGGATCAAGTTGTTCAGAAATGAGTTTTGATGATTATGTTCCTCAGTCAGTAGTTGACCATCCCCAACTGGCTGTCAAAGAAAGAAACCTAAAGGATAGATGTGTCTACCTGAAAAATGAGAACCAAAATCCCAGTAGTGCTGAATTACATCTTGATTGTGATGACTCTTTGAATACAGTGACTGATGAATCTCAAAGGAATGTTGAAGAAATAAATCTTCTGAAAGAGAAGAAGAATCTAGTGGACATAAACTGTAAATCACATGGTCCTGGAATGAATTTTCACACTGATGCTCAGTTAGTAGCTGACCATCTCCAAGAAGCAGTTAAAGAAGTAAACTCTGAAGAAGTAGCAACTAACTTAGCAAATAAGAGTGCCAGATCTAGCATTTCTGACTTGAGTTTTGATTCTCATGATTTTCCTTACAACCCAACCAATGATCAACTGCAAGGTACTCTGGGTGAATTAAATGTGAAAGAGTCTAATATTCATATGGAAATTAAGAGCTGTGGGTGTTCCAGTTCTGATTTGACTTTTGATTCTGATCCCTCTTTTCTGTCAGCCACTGAGCATTCTGAGCTATATATTGAGGAAATACGAAAAGAGTATATTAACCTCAAGAGTAAGAACTGTGAATCAGATAGTTCTGAAATAACATTTGAATCAGATATTTCTCTTCATTCAGTTGACCAACCTCAGATAACTGTTCATGAGGAAGAATCTCATGATCTGGAAAATAAGAGTAATGAATCTTGTATTCCTGAAATAAACTTTGATTCTGATGCACCTCTTTATTCAAGAACTGGTCGGCCTAAAGTAGATGCCAAAGAAATATTTCAGAAGGAAGAATATGCATACTTAAGATGGAAGAATGATGAACCCAGGGGTTCTGAAATAAGTTTAGATTCTTCTGTATCTCCTGTAATTAATTCTCCTGAAGTAGCTATTAAAAAGATACAACTTCAAAAAGAAGAGAAAGTTCACTTAGAAAATAAGGAAAATGAATCTAGTAGTTCTGAAATAAGTTTGGACTATGATGCTTTTTATTCAATGGCTAAACGATCTGAAGACACCCTTGTAGAAGCAGACCTTCAGAAAGAAAAGCAGGTACACCTAGAGAATAAGGATAATGAATCTAGTATTTCTGAAAGCAGATTGAAGTCAAATGTTTCTCTTCATTTAGTGACTAATCACCCTGGCATTACTGTTAAAGAAAAAAACGTCCAGAAGGAAGAACACATAATAGATAAGGGTAATAACTTAAGTACTTCTGAAATAAGTTTGGATTCTGATGTCCCTCTTTTATCAGTGACTTGCAAACCTGAAGTAGTTTTTCAAGAAATAAGGCTTCAAAAAGAAAAGCATGCTGATAGAGTCCAAGCTAAAAGTGCTGAATTCAGTGTTTCTGAAGTAAACTTGTGTTCTGAGCTTCATTATTCAGTGACTGATTCTCAAATTGCTGGTAGAGAAATTAATGTTCAGAAAGAAGGGCATATTGTTGAAGAAAACAAGAGTGTTACTTGTAGTGGTTCTGAAATGATTATAAATTCTAATGTCCCTTCTCTCTCAATGACTGAAAGACCTCGAGTAGCTGTTTTGAAGGAAGAACATGGCCCAAAAGAAAAAAGTACTGAATCTCGAGGTTTAAAAATAAATTGGGATATTGCCTCTCCTTTTCATTCAGTGATTCATCAGCCTCAACTAACCCTTTTGAAGGAAAAGCATACTGAGTTGGAAGATGCAAACAATAAATTTAATGATTGTAAAATAAGTTTTTATTTTGACAACCCTCTTAAATCATTGACTGAGCAATTTCAGGAAGTGGCTAACAAGACAAGCCTATGTAAGGAAGAGGATATTGACCTGGAAAATAATGAGGAAAATAATGGTTCTAAATTGCACAATTCTGATGTTTCTCAGTTTGTGACTGATCAACCTGAAGTAGCTGCTAAACGAATAAAACTTGAAAATGAAAGTCGTGTGTACTTGGAAAGTAAGAACAGCCAATACAGTGGTTCTGTAATGAGTTTGCATTCTGATTTCTTGGTCCAGTCAGTAGTTGATCAACCTCAAATAAACATCTTGCAGCAGGGACATACTGAGCTAGAAAGTAAGCATAGTCAATTTTTTGGTTCTGAAATAAGTTTTGAGTCTGATGACCCTGTTCAGTCAGTGGCTGATCAGCTTAGAGAAACTGTTAAAGAAATAAGCCTTTGGAAAGATGAAGCTGACATGGAAGATAGGAAGAATGAATCTAAAGGTTTTGAAATAGTGTATGATTCTGGTGTCATCGTTCACTCAATGTCTGGTCGAACTGAAGAAGTCGTTAAGGAAATCAAATTTTGGAAGGAGCATGTTGACTTGGAAGATAAGACAGGTCAGCCTAGTGATTCAAAAGTAAATTTTGATGCTAATGAACCTCTTCAGTTTGTGACTAGTGAAATTCAAAAAGACATTACAGAAATAAATCTTCTGAGGGAAGGTCATGTTTGTCTAGATGGAAAAAGCTATGTAACCAATGATTCTGAAATAATTTATGTTTCAAATGTCCCACTTCAGTCAGTGACTGAGCAGCCACCTGCTTTAGAAGAGAAACATTCCAATAGGAAAGATGAGAACAGTGGACCATGCGGACCTGAAACAAGTTTTGCTTCTGTTGAGCATCTTCAGTCAGTGACTGACCATTTTCAAAAAGGTGTTAAAGAAATAAGTGTTTGGAAGGAAGATCATGTTTACCTGGAAGATAAGAGCTATAAACTAGGTGATTTTGAAGTAAGTTATGATTCTGATAATCCCATCCACTTTGTAGCTGACCAGTCTCCTGTCAGAGAAATAAACCTGCAGAAGAAGTCTCACAGTGACCTAAAAAGTAAACGCTATAAGTCTATTATTTCTGAAATAAAATGCAATTCTGGGGTTTGTCTTCAGTTAAAAGTGGACGAACCTCAAATGATTTGCAAAGAAACTAACTTTCAGAAGGAAGAGCATCTTGACATGGGAGAAAAAAACAGTGAATCTAGTGATTGTGAACTAATATGTGATTCTGATATTCCTCTTCATATAGTAGTTGACCAACATGGAGTGTCAATCAAAGAACCAAATCTTCAAAAGATGTTATTTGTGGACTTGGTGACCAGTGATAATGATTGTGAAGTGATTCCTGATTCTGATTCCAATTTTCAGGCAGTGATTGACTCACCTCAAATGACTGTCAAAGAAATCAATTGTATAAATGCAGAAAGTTTCCGTTTAGAAGGTGAGGGCCATAACTATTACAATTCTCCAGTGGGATATGTTTGTGAAGTTTCTCCTGGCTCACTGACAAACCAATCTAGAGAGACTTTCAAAGTAGTAAACCAGAAGAAAGATTATATTATTCTACAAGAGTCAAGCTGTGCGTCTTATGGATCTGAAGTAAACTTCCAAGTTGATGCCTCTCTTCAGTCCTTGACTTGCCAATCACAAGGACATGATAAAAAAATGATGAACTACATTGACCTAGAAGATAAGAGCTGTGATTCTCATAGTCTTAAAAAAAACTTTAAGTGGGGAGGTGCTTCTCAGTCAGTGATTCACCAACTACAGAAAACTGGCAAAGATGTCAGCCTTAAAAAAGATCTAGAAAACATTGACCTACAAGACAAGAACTGTAAATCTAGTGTGTCTGCAATGGATAGGAATGCCTCTCCTAAGTCAACAGTCCATCAAAGGATTGATAAAGATAATTTTTTGAAGTTAAAACATAAAAATCTACACTTCATGCGCTGTGAACCTCATTCTGAGATGAATTTTCCATGTGATCCCTCTTTTCAGTCTGACCAGCTTCATGAAGCTGTTAATAAAACAGGTGTATCAGAGAAAATGTCTTTAGGACGGAAAGAAAAGAACTATATATCCCATTCAAACTCTGTTCCTGTGGCTGATTCTAGAGCGAACCCAGGAAAAACAAAAGGAGCCATACAAAATAATCTTGATGAACCAGTTCTTGAAGCTTTGCCTCATGTACCTCCTTCATTCGTGGGGAAAACGTGGTCCCAGATATTGAAAGAAGAGGATATGAAAATTAGTGCTCTTGTGAAGGAATTCAGGGAAGGCCATTTCCACTGTTACTTTGATGATGACTGTGAGACCAGGAAAAGAAAAAAAAAAAATTTGAATAAAGGGAAAAGGATTACCTGGGCTGATATAAATGAGGGGATGACATCAATTCAAGTTTTCTCAGACTATGATGATAATACAAGTGATATTTCAGATATTGACTTTTCCGTGGCCTTAGATAAATTTAGCCATCATTCTGAAGTGAAAATGCCTTATGAATATCCATGGCGAGTAGCATCTCGATGCCAGGCTGTAAAAGTCAGCCATGGAACTCAAACCAATGTCATGAGTCACCCAGGGACAAAAACAACTGGCCAAGAAGACGACTTAACAATGAGGAAGAATTCACAGAAGGACATAGAAAAGATAAGGAAAGTGACAATTGGAGAACTTGAATTTCTGCAATTGGGTACTCATGTTCTGAAGCCTTTGCAACCCAATGCCTTACTCTGTATTCTCTCTGCAAATATGTTTGAGTTGCAGGAAGATAATAAATCCTTCAGCCTCCCTAAAAAGAGGCCCCATAGGAAGAAGAAGAATCACAGTTTTAACATCCAGTACAGATATAAACGGAATTCCTTTAGTTCTTATGACCCATTAAAGAGGCAAATTCCAAGTAATCCTCCTTCGAATATAGAAGTACCAGAGCATTATCGGGATAATGAGGTTAACAATGATTTTCATGGGAGTGACTTAAATGTGGAAGATGGTGATGTCGATTTGCAAAGCTTTGTAAGAAATGAGTCGGTGGCATGTGAGTGGGCCAGTGGATCTTCCATCTCTCTAGAAAAGTCCAAGGTTTTGAATTCTAATGCAGCTCCAAGGGAAAGTGATTTCCAGTTTACTCTTCCAAATTGTGGTATTACCAAAAGCTCTCCAAAATTGGCTACAAAGAAGCTTTTAGAAAGTAAAAAGAAGATTCAGAGAAGGAAGGTGACAACTAACAATAAGCCAGGCTTTTCTAATCTGGTTTGTAAACCAATTACTCTCCAGCAAAAAATGGGAATTGCTTCAGAAAAACAATCAGTTTGGATTCGGACAAAACTAAGTGATATAATTAGAAAATATACTTCTAAATTCTCTGTCTTTTTGCGTCACAAATACCAATCAAGAAACATTTTTATTAAAATGAATCTTAAGAAAAGATCTGACATCAGCATGTTAAAGAAGGCAAAGAGACCAGTCAAGATACTTTCTAGCTCCTCGGTTTTGCCTGCTGGCCTGGAAGAACAGCCGGCCGGAGATCTTGCAAGCTCTTCTCCAGAGCAGCCTGTGCAGGCTTCATCCAGCATTGTACAAAGTAGGAAGAACGGTAAGAAAACGTGCCCTAGGAAAAAACCAAACAAGCCTGTTAAACCTGTTAGAGTATATGCTTTGAGAAGTATGTGTGCTGAGATGCCATATTTTAGTAGAATAAAGACAAGGCAGTCAAATCAGTGTGAGGAAATAAGGTAAATCCAGAGTGTTTGTGTTAATTCTAGTTGAGGATTCAGTGGGTCAATGGAAACATATTTGGTAATTTCATTAGTGCATATAGCTCTCCATCTTTGGGGGAAAAGTAACAGTTAATTATTTTGCTATAGATATTTTTCAGAACTTTTATATTTATTTAAAATTAGTGTTGAAGATTTTTATTTTTTAAGATTTGCAAGCACCTTCTGTCCATTTATTGTAGAAGAGTTTCATCTTAATTTATATCATATAATTTAGTACAGTATATACAACTTTGTCTCAAATCATACCTCATAATTTATTGTATCTCATATCAGCAGGTCATAATGTTGCAAACGTAAACATGAGAAACATTAAATGCTCGCTTACTTTCACTTTTTGAAAGTTGGCATAAATGAATACATACATACAATCTTTTCCATAGCGGCATTGTCAACATCACATTCAAATGAGATAATAATAAAAGAGGAAACATAAATTAACAGATTTTGAGAGGATTGACTGAAGTAATTACAAAATACAATTTATCTTGCTTTGAAAAAAATATTTCTGAGATAAGATTCCATAATCTTTAATCTAGTTTTGAAAAACTGCCTGGTAATTTTACTTACATATGCAAAATCTGTAACGCATTTAAATTGGATCTGCAGGTCTCTAATGCTCTTTTGGACCCATACACACTTAAAACCTCTGTAGTACTATTAGATCATAAGGAGAAAATGAACTTGACAGTGTGATTACGCTTTTTTTTTATCACCTTTACTTTCTTCTACCTGAAGGGTTGGCAGTTTAATATGAAGATCCAGGTTATTTTATAGCCTTGTTTCTTAAAATATCTTAGATATTACCATGTCATTTTTCATAGTTTGAAGTAAATTATTGTCTTGGTAATTTGGACAGATCTTTGTTGTCATTAAGAAATTATTTACAGTCAGTATTTAAAAAAAAGATTTTTATTTATTTATACATACGAGTACTGAGGTGTAGGCCAGAGGTGAGGGTGTGTGGAGGGGGTGAGAGAATTCACTAGAGACAGTGTGGGCAGCAGAATAGGCAGATCTACTGAAGTACAAGCTGAGAGGAGCAGCAGGTGAGACAGTGCCATGTGGGTTGGCTCCCTGGTTGGGGATTGAACGCATGCCACTCTTACAGCAGTGGATGGAAATAGCTCCATAGCACTGAGACTTTAACTCCTGTGCCACCAGGGAGGCCCCATAGTCAGTATTTTAAAAGAGCAAATCAAGCTTAGGCCCACTTTGCAAGTGAAAAACTATGATTTGTATGTTGGTTTGGCTTTCCTTAAACTTACTGATTTTAATAGTTCAAGTAAAGAATGTTAAAGAGATACCATTCAGACTTGAGGGTATCCTTTTAACCAGTGACACTGGATCATCTATCATTTATGTTAAAGGAAAATAGAAAATAAACTATATTGTGTACTTGCTATATTTTATTGAAACTAAATTAGTGTCCCATAATTTCAGAGCTAAAAATATCTTAGGATTAATGAAATATAGTGTAACGCTTGGTTTCTAAGTGGAGTTTTATTTCAGGGGACATTATTTAACCTGTAGGTGTTATGAGGGTGTGTTATAATTCCGTCTAAATTTTAAAAAGTAATTGTATTCAAAACAATAGATCTATGTTTATGTTTCTAGTTGCAAAGCAATTTCAACCTTTCATATATAGATCTTTTAATTTCCTTTCTTAAAATATCACCTTGGAATACTAGCTTAAATTAATCCTCCAATTTTGGGAAGAAAACCCTTACAAATTATGGTGTGAACAGCAGCTAATTTATAAATTCTCTATGTGGGTATTGTTGTCTCCCTATGAAGTAGACACTTAATTCCCGTAAGTAATGTTAGTGGGACATTGTGCAAGCTTTTAGTGTAAGTCAAGAAGATCACGTGAAAATAATAGAATATGTAATTACGTAACCATGCATTGTTGTACCTCCATGCAGAGAGAACACATTTGTAATTCAAATCAGCAAAAACTTACAGTTAAAAAAAATTACTTCCTTTTTCATAGTAGAAACACTTCTTAGTCTCATTTTTGAAAGAGGTTTATATTTAAAATTGATGTTACTAATAGTATAATACAATACTGATTATTTTTTGTAAACATTTGGGGAATGTTTACTAAGTTCTTATAATCATTATTTTACATAAACTTGAAAACTTGAAGTTGTAAAAATTATAATTTAAATTAATTAGAAGTGAAATTTGCTCAGAATTTGGTAGTATGTAAGATCCACTCCTTCGTCAAAATATACTTTGACTTAATTCACAGATTAGATAGTGATGTTTTTGTGTATTCAAGGATGTGTCAGATTCTTTTGATAGTAAAATAATTAAAATGTAGTCATAAGGTGCATTTTATCAATCTTGTTCATATCTTGCATTTATTTTTATTATAAATGGCCCAGGTTATACAGTACATGGATGTTATTTTATGTGTGCTTTATTTGCATTTAAATTGTGTGTAACTGGCACTCTGAGTGACTTTTTTTTTTGTAAAGAGAAGCTATATTTAAATATTGAAAAATTCTATATTTCCATGTATAACAAATGTGAAGACTAATGTATTTTTTATAATGCAATTTAAAGAGTAAATTTGTTTTTGAAGATAGCAAGATTAAAATGATCAAATATTGAAATCTATCTCTTTTTCCTCATATTAAGAACTTTCAGGAGAAATACTTAAGGAATTTGAGGATAATGAAACAGAAATTTATTTTGTAAGTGGTCTTAGTCATAATTAAAGATATGAATGCTGATGCTGGTGAAAAATAGTTGAACCAAAGATATCCAGCTTATGTTTTCAAAGGATTAACGTTAAACAGATGTTTGCTTAATGCTAATCCTTTATAGAAAAACAAGGCAAAGGATCAGATAAAATCAGCTACATGTCTGGAGTGGAGGTTAGTGGCTTTCACTTTGTAGGGAACTGTACTGGAAAAGAAAATGAACAGGATTGAATTTAGGAGGCAGTATCTATGTCATCACTTGACACCTACCAGGAAGAAGGAACTTTGATGCTTCCAGCACTATAGCATAGACTGTGAAGGACAAGGAAATATGGGAATCTATGTATGTCAGTGAGGTAGGTAGGTGACTTTTGACCTCAGTAGTATTGACTTATAGGTTATTCGGTCTGGTGTTATATTATTAAGGTGAACGACAGCCTATTCTTTATAATAAAGCTTACTACAGTAAACATTTAAGATGGAAATGCATTCTCAATAAAGGACTTGTATAGAAAGAAAATGTGGAAATTACTGAAAATTACTGAAAAATCATGTAATTACACATCAAAATGTCAATTTAAGAAGATGATAGGCTGAGGATGTGTCTCAGCATTTATTTATGCTGTGTTTCAACACTATTAGGGAAATAACACTATATTTGTTAAGTTTCTTATGTTTTTCGTAGTACCTTATATGTGTCTTTAATAAATTCTCCCACTGCATTTTAAGTGATTTACCTGATTAAGGAATAGATCTGGGGTGAACTATAGTTCGTTCCTGAATCTTTAAATATGAATTTACGCTTTTTTCTGTGTTTTTAATTTATTAGTGTTGCTTTTTTATGTGTTTTATTTTCTAAAACATTAAAACTGGCCATGTGTATTTGAGGTGTGTGTGTGTGTACCTCGAGCCATTTCTGGGTGCAGTGCATTATTCTGCACTTATTATTCTGAGCTTTTTGACCTGTTTTATCTTATTTGATCTTTAAAGTGCCCTTATGAGTTAGGCATTATAATTGTCACCATATAGCAGATGAGAAAATTAAGTTGCATTGATCCTCAGTGTGGGGATAGCAATTAAGTTATTTACAATAGTCAAATGTAGAAAACAGTTAATTCCCATTACCATCCTCAGTCCTAGGACACAGATAGTCTTATAATTTAACCTTTTATGGACATTTCAGAAATGGGCTCACATACTCTGTGGGCTTTGTCTGCTTTCTTTCAGTTATGATGTTTTTAAGGGTCATTCATGTTGTAATGTGTATCAGTATTTTCTTTCTTTTGATGACTGATATTTGTAGTCAGGTTTTTGAAAAAGATTTAATTATTTATGCATATAAGAACTGGGGTGTAGTTAGTTTTTATTGAAGCTGGTAATAATACCCTGATCTTCTAATCATAAATGGTAAAAATTCTTAGGCTTGAGGCTAGTTGTTCTTTCATCTCTCATACCTGTTATCTTGTTTACAACTATGATTCCAAGACCAGTCAACCTTTGTGAGTGCTCTTATCCCATACTTGAATGTTTATGCGTCTTTGACTCATTGCCTTTCCTGCCCATCTTGCTGTTCCTGTCACTGTGCTCTGTGAAGTCCCATTTTCAGTGTCAGCTCGTTACTCTTTGTTCTCTATCCTTTGGCAATAGATTGCAGGTAACCAAACAAAGAATCATATCCAAGTTGCTCATTTTTGTCGTCTACATAGGCTATAGAGCCAGGAAGTGTTGATGGTACTGGTCATTGTAAACATTCATTTAAAAAATTATTCTCCTGTGTACCCACAATACATGTCATCAAAATGATGAAATCAGCATGATGTGCTATAACCCTCTATGCCACAGACTTCATATGGATTTTACAGATTATTCCATCATGTCCTCCGTAGGTTCAGGACTCAATCCAGGATCAGTGTGTGATCCTTTAGTTTCCTTCCATATGGAGCAGTTCCTCAGCTTTTTTTTGATTTTACAACTTGACATTTTGAAGTGTACAAATCAGTTTCTTTGTGGAATGTCCCTTCGTTTGATCTTGTCTGATGTTCTTTTATAGCTAATGCTTTCTGTGGGTACAGAAATGTGGAGTTCTCAGTGTTTTGTAATCGGAGCCATGTGATGTCAGTTTGAATAAATGTGGTGAATAAAGAAATTCTGTCTTGCTTCTTATTTTGGAGGAAGAACTTAATTATCTGAAATGGGGGCTTAATTAGAGGGCAAGTTATCAACAAATAGTTGCACCTTTTTTCACAACTGAATTTTGACGTCATTGTGATT